AATACTTTTTTTGTTATGTGATAACAAATATAAAAATGAAAGTAGGTCATGAGGATTAATGTAAAAACTACAAAATTACAAATGGTATAACATTAATACTTCGTGGGACTAGTTTTATGTGATTCATTATACTAATTTTTTTTAAGACCTTAGCATATGTCCTCTATTATCTATAGAAATCTTTTATTTCAACTAGCGTTATGGAACATTTGCACTTTAGGTAGCTACATGTTGGAATTGTATGATGTTCCCTTTTCTTTGAATATATAGATGAATAAATATATTTTTTTAGCTCATGATATTTGTTATTATTCTTAGAATGTTATGGTTGCTTTCTCTTACTATTCAAGGTATAAAAAAGAGGACTTTGTTATAATTAATCAATTTTTAATAGATTGAGGGTTCTTAAGATTATTTTTTCTTTCACTCTTATAGGTTTGCTTTTTCTTAAACATTTTCATACTTTGTGCTCTCATTTAAATTTTGGCTTGTTAACACAACATGAGTTTCAAAGATGATCAAAAGTAAACCGATACCCTTGGAAGAAGAGTTTGGACACCCAAAGAGATAAAGAAACACACTATAATAATCCTTCTTGATTTAATTTCATAATTTTTTGAAGGGTACGAGGCATGAACATTATGATAAATTAGATGATAATGGTCTAGCACATCCTATGAGTTATTCCACTTTATTGTTAAAGGGTTAATTTAGCTACAAATTCAATTTTTTAGTAATATTTTTCCACAACTATCAAAGGGCAAGGGTCTCTTGTAAAGATATTATTGGAAAGACTACTCCAACTGTAAGATAGCCTAGGAAGTAGCTTCAAGGTATGCATATCATGTTCATAAAACTAGATTTTCCCATAGTGGGATGGTGATTATGTACATAAAATGTATTTTTTTTTTTTTTTTATGATTTTCCTTCTTTACTGGATACCTTGATCTTACATCATATCTATTTGTTAGATATGTTGATAAATGTCATTTTTTATTCATCATATTTCTTCAATTTTATTAGGTTGTGTAAACACATAATTTTCATCCTTAAGATTAGTGAAAGTGATGATGATATCTATCTATATTTCTCATATTGGAGATAATTTTAGTAGTAGGCAAGGTCTAAAGGGAACTATGATTTAAACTCAAGAAGATATGCCATGGATTATTAAAGACATTATGCCTAGCGTTATTGTGAGTCCTCAAGCCATTACCTTTTAGATGATTATAGTTCAGCTTATTGAGTGTATTATGGGAAAGGTTACTTCCCATATTAGAAAAGGATATAACATTTCATTAAGTGAATTCTCATCATATAAAAAAATTTAATATAATGTTAGGAGATATGATGGGGGTGGTGGAGAGTATATGTATCACTGACTGCTTAGTAGAGCAAGAGAGATAGAGGACAAATTAAACCTTCTAACCTCAATACCACTTTAAGCTCTCATAGTCTGTCAACCTATGAAAATCTTAGAAGAGTAAGTGAAACATGTACTGTTAAAATCCTATCAATGCAATTCATCTCTATAAATTTGGTATATGTCAAACTATATTTTTATGTTTGCATTATGCCAATCCAATATATCTTGTTGTGTTTTATTTTCTATTCATAGGCTTAATATTACATCTGATATTAACTACACATATGACTACTATGTGTATTAAATGAAGACCTTGTATACTGAAATTTTTTTTGAATTATTGATATATAGAGTTTATTAGTATTCAATATTCCATTTATACCATCAATCCAAAACTAGATTATTTAGCCAGGCATGAAAAATAAGTGAAACAAACTTATTTTTACTAATTGCACAAAATAAAAAAAGAACATAAGAAAAGATATTACCGATTGGGTTCAATGCTCAACTCTACACTCCGTGAACTTATTGGATGGCTTCCACGAAAATTAACCAAGCACTATCAAAAGTAGATCTACCGCTTCCTTAATTCCCTTAGTTGTCACTCCTTAGGAAATTGCATAGAAGCACTATAAAGTTTGAAATTAACTAAGTGACTAAACTCCCTTACTAATATTACAAATGGACTATATAGAGAAAAAACAAAGTAAATAGACTACGGTGCTGCAGTGCTGTAGACACTTGCATAGTGACAACCATAAAATGAACTAACGTCGCTGAGCTAAAGAATTTTCTCCATTGCGGGCTTGCTGACGTGGACAAAATTGTTTATTGAATCGAAGTGTTGCTTTGCTAACAGATCTGTCCTAGCTGGTTATAATTATAGCACTATGGTTTTGCTAATTGTTAAGCATTGTAGCATCCACGTGGAACTCGCCTTGGCTCAACAACACTGAAAATTGGGGTATTGTGTAGATAGAGATTGGGCTTTGCAGATCTAATTCCTCTATTGTTGCGGCACTATCAAACAGTGACTGGGCATCGACAAGTCCATATTGGACACTTCAACAGTGTCAATGATGGCGCCATAATAGTATAGTGTTCGACATTGTGGCATCCGACATGGTGGTGCTATATGATATTTTGAATTTCATGCCTTTCTTATATTTTTCTAGCACAACATGGCTAAAACAATATAGTTTTACGAAAAAGATAATATATAAAATATAACATTATTTATTACAATCATCAAATTCTCCCTAACTTAAACTCTTGCATAATTTCATGCAAATAAAATTTTGTAATTCTAATTAAGTGATTAACAAAAAAAATGGCCATTTAAAATTATTAAATTATATGATAACACATCACTGCATAGAATTAGTGAAAATTAATAAGGCTATACTGTTTGTTTGAAAATATACTAATATTTAAACTAATCAATCATTCTAATTACAACCTAATTTGAAATTATAAGTTATAGATTTAATCATTAACTTTGAATTATTGAAGTGAATAATTGATTTTTAATGTTAAAATTGTACTTTCAGTATTTCCTCATATCTTGTATTTACTCTCATATATTATCCTTTTTAGCTTATGTTTAAGAATTTATTTTTAATCTTATGCTTTCACCAATATAAATTTTTTAATGTAATCATATTTTTGTCTTTTTTACAACTATTTTATAGTTTTTTTCCTTTTGTATAGTAGCTAATTAATGAAATTGAATACCACCTTCTGCTTTAGACCTTCATACAACATTAACGATTTTAATGTAAGGATTTGAAGTGATTACTAATTTATCTTCATGTTAGACATGATTTCAAATTTTAATATACTCATATCTAATTTTTAATACTAATTATTCATCATATAATTTTAAAAAATAGTTTTATAAGAATTTAGCTTATAAATTCAACTCAAATGGTTGATTGAGTTAATTATTAGCTTTTCTAACCTATAAAATATAAATACAATTTATTCAAAATAAGATTCATACTTTTATTATTATCTTAATATTACATAATTTTTAATTATAATTTTCATAAGGGTTAATTAATTAATCAAAATATAAAAGTAACTAGAGCACAATAATAATTTAAGCATGACGAGAATTTGCTAATATGTTAATAAAACACATAAACAAACAATACATCCACATGCTCTCTTTTTTTTTTTTTGAAGAATTGCAATCAAATGCATTAAGAACCAAAAGACAAAGCTAATTACAAGTAATAAAGGGATCACATTCCTCCTTGATTAGATTCCACAACAAGGACGGAACGTTTTCCAAATAAGACCTATCAAAGTAAAAACTATTTTCCAAAGCAAAAGTAGCACAACAATTAGCTACCTTATTACAATTTCTAGAGGCATGATGGAAAATTACCTTATTGTACTCATTCAAAAAACATAGATCCTTAGCCGGCCACCTATCCACATGCCAATTATTCTTCTTCAAAGACTCTTTGAATGAACTTGATAATATTTACCTTATCACTTTCAACAATGATTCCTTTCCATTCACAAAGGAACTCCCTCGCCGAAATGACAGCCTCTAGCTCAAGTTGAGCTATATCCCATTGAGTTTTGTTCTTCCCAAAGCACTGATAAATCTGCCCTTGTAGTCCCTAAAAATGCCACCAATTCCAGCTTGATTGGATCTAAGTAGAGAAGCATCCACATGCTCTCATATGAATGATAAAATGTGCATAAAATAAATGTTGAACACAAAAAATGACATAACATTCATAACATAATGGGAACTAGCATAACATATACATGTGTTACCTCCTATAAGCAACGCTAAGTTTATAGTCTTCAAATATACTTGCCCATATTTTGTATTTGGCTTAAGATGGATGATTGTTACTCTTCAATTGGGTCTCATTGTATCTGCTTCCTTCACCTTAGGATTTACTTTGGCGTTAGTAGGTAAGAATTCCATGAGCCTACTACTTACAGAAACTACAAGATGACATAATTGAGTTTCCAAGTTTTTAATTGAAGCTGCTTGGTTTTGTTATTGATTTTCCAATCGCACGACCGCATCTTCTAGAGCTGTCTTTCTAGTTTCATACTGATTGTCTTGATTAAATCTAGGAGGATATGCTTGTCTTGGATTATTATTAGCTTGATTTTAATTATTCTAATTTGCTCATTGGTTATTTTGACAAGAATTCCTTTGATTTCACTATTATTATTTGATCAACTAAAATTTGATTGATTCTTTCAACCAGGATTATATGTATTTGAATAGAGATTATTTTATTTTCCAATCAAATTTAAATTTTCAATCCATTATATATCATTCTCTTTCATTACACTTTTATATTGCAAATGTAAAGATGAATTAGAATTTAAGCTTAAAGTACTGAACTTCTTTAATATTGCTATACGTTGGGCAGTCAAAATGGATAAAAATTCATTTTCATAGACACCTGCAACTCGCTTAGTGTTCATTGACCCTATCATCAGGTCACCGAAAGTTTTTTGTTTTCATTTTCTAAATTACTTCATAAGCATCCTCAAAAGGCTTTGACATCAAAGAACCTCTAACTGTAGCATCAATTTTGGCTCTAAGAGATTCTACCAATCCATTATAAAAATTTTGAATTATTAACTACCAGGTATGGCATGATGAGTGCACTTTCTAAGCATATTCTTGAATCTTTTCCAACTCTCATAAATAGATTCTCCTTCTAACCAAGTAAAAGAAGTAATTTAATTTTTAAGTTTTTCTTTCTTAGAAGCTGTGGCATATTTTTTGATAAACTTATGGGCTAACTCATTCCATGTAATAATAGAGCTTGGGGGTAAAACATTTAACCACATTTTTGTCTTATCTCCTAGAGAAAATGGGAATAATTTAAATCTCATGGCATCATCATTAACACATTGTACTTAAATATTGCACAACACAAATTTTTAAGAAATTTGCTAAAAGTATTTTTGGATCTTCAATGGGAGTTCCCCTAAACTGAAAATTCTGTACAAATGAAAGCTTGCAGGTTTTAATTGAAAATTATTAGCTTAGATGATAGTTCTATTTATGTCATGTCAAATTTTGTCAATGTCTCTTATTCTCTATATCACTTTCTCTCTGTCATTTTCCCTCTCATTGTCTCTCTCTCTCTCTCATACACTCACACACACTCTCTCTCTCACTCCACTAACTCTCTGGTCATCATCCTCTCTCTCTCTCTCTCTCTCTCTCTCTCATTTCTCCCTCCAACCTCTATCTTTATCTATATATTTCTCTCTCTTGCTCACTCTATTACCCCCTCAGTTCTATTTTTCTCTCTTCCTCACCACTCGAATCTATCTGTGCCTCTATCTCTATATTCCACGCACTCTCTCATGCACAATCAATTTCTCATAAAACATATCTCCCTCTTTATCACTCTCCATCTCCCTATCTCTCACACATTCTCTTATACATCTCTATCTTTCTCTCTCTCTCGCTCTCCCATTCCTCACACTCTCTTGGTAATGCTATCTCTCCCTCCCTTACTATATTCCTCTCTCTCACTCCCTCTATTACTCTATCTCTATGTGTTTCTTTTTTTATATCACTTTCTCTTTCTCATTCTCCCGCTCCCTTTCTCTCCCCCTCTCTCTCACTCCCTCTCTTGCTCTCTCTATGTATCTCTTTATTTATATCACTTGTTCTCTCTCTCTTGTTCACTGTATTACCCTCTCACACTTCTCTCTCACCTCTCAACTCTATCATTCCATCTATCTCAATATTCTGCTCACTCTCTCACATTTTCCCTCATGCAGGATTCATTTCTCTTAAAATATCTCCCTCTTTCTCACTCTCCATTTGTATATGTCTCACTCGATCTCTTTATCTCTTTCTCTCTCTCAGACCACTTTTTTACTCCATCTCACTTATTTTCTTTATCCCACTCTATTATCTCTCTAAAAATACATCTCTTCCTCTATCTAATTCTCCCTCTCATTCTCTCTCTCTCTCTCACTTTTACTCATTCTCTATCACTCTCCAACTCCCTATATATATATACTCCTCTCTCTATATATATATATATATATATATATCACATGCTATCTATCCTTTTTTCACTCTCTTTGCTAGCTCTCTCTCTTTCTCTCTCTCTCTCTCTCTCTCTCTCTCTCTCTCTCTCCCTCCCTCCCTTATGTACTTTATCTCTCTCTCTCTCACACACACAAACTTTTTATCTCTCTCTCCATCACGCTCAGTACCCCTTTTACTACTCTCTCTATCTCTCACTCATACTAACTCTATCTCTTCCCTTTCTAATAATCTACATACAGTTGGGAGAGCCTTTTAATTATCTACATACAAAAGACTATAATAGAAGATATGAAAACTGAAAGTCCCAACAATGGTATCATCAATTTGGTCATACAAAAGTATATTTTGATGTTGGTGGTCATTAATATGTGACCACAAAAAGGTAGTAAGTTTGGGTTCCAAAAAGACCCAAATATTCTGATGCTCAGGAGAAAGGCCATAATAAAAGAAATCTATAAAGGTTGACTCAAATCTTAGGTCCAGATGTTATCACCCAATAAGGAGACTTCTATTGACAAGGCTTCGCTAAAAAAGGAAGATAATCATGTTTATAATGAATACCCTGACTCTCCAATCATACATTTGAAGCGATAGTCCCAACTTGGAGTTGACCACGAGTTGGATAAAAATGATAATTAGTATGATGATAATGATGAAGTGGAATGGTGTATTGGTCCCATGGATGTTGAAGTTGTTAGGATGGTTGATCATGTACATAATAGAGCTAATTAGCGGTATACTCAAAAAAATGCATCATTGAATCTACGAAATAAGGAACAACTACTAGATGACAAAGAACAAGCAGTGGATGTAAATAGAACTCCACAACCAGAAGAAGTTATAAAATGGGTTCAATTGAAAATGTAATCTATTCAATAGAAGAAACATCAAGAAATCCATCATTTTAATACTTGCATGGATGAGATGAGTAATATAGTGAAATAGTTGTTTGGACAACTTGGTATGATGGCTATAACTAGTCAACCACATGCAGTAAATTCTCAAGGGAATGTTCAAACTATTCATGATGCAAGGGTTATTCTTGGAAGAAGTTTAGAAGAGTTTTAGGAGCCAGCTTATATAACTTCTATATAAGACGAAATGGTCAGCAAATCCCAGATTGAAGATCTCATCAGTTAAAAATTAAAGCAGCTATTGCTTTTGAAGCTGCTGAAGCCTTTGTGGGAAAATATCATCCGTATCTGATAGAATATAACTACGAGAAATATCCAAAAGGATTTTTATTGCCAATATATTTGATAGTATTGCATGACACAATTCAAAGCTACATATAGAAATATGGGTTGTATGATACTTTGTTACTACGCCAATTTGTCAGCGGTTTAACATGTACAATATTTGAGTGTTATGATGAGTTACTCAACAACTCAGTAAGGACATTCGCTAAATTAAAGATGATATTCATTAAAAGATTTGCTAGTTCAATGAAAAAAGTGACTATCACTGACCTTGTTCTTGAGAAGAGAAAAAGAGAGGAATCGACTACTAAGTATATATAACCAGGTGGAGAAATCTTAGCATAAAATATGAACAATATCTCACTTAAAAGCATGTTGTTGAACTATTAATGGGGAATACAGATGAGCAGATGGTTCCATATCCAGAAATGGCTACAAGCAATACTTTTTATGAGTTACTGGATCATGTAGCCAAATTTGAAGGTTACCCAGGCCTAGAAATGTTGGCTTCAACTATAATAATAACATGCCAAGAAAAGAAAAATAGGTCAAAACCTTTAATCCAAAATGAACAAGGTTAATACCACATTCCCATCTTCCTATGATAAGAAAGGAAAGGATGAGTTAATAAATCCACCAAAAAAGCTAAAATAAACAAAAGAAAGGCAAATGGTCCCTTCTTTGCAAGAAAGAATTAAGAAACTATATTCCTTCAAAAAGGAATGTACAAAAAGGATTTTTAGTCAAGGACTAAAGATTGCCCTTCATTTGCTAGAATGTCATTGACCGGAACAAGCTAACATGAATGACAAGTTGAACTATTATTTGTATCATAGGATCATAAGTCACCAAATTGAATACTATTTCATATTCAAAGATTGGGTCGAAAGGAATTATCAAAATAGTGAACTTACACTTTGTGATAGTTTTTTTGTCAACCCCAATAGGGAGAAAGCCAATGTTACCTCTTTTGTTCCTTGCTAAAGCACATAAGACAAGAGAGAAAAAGCACCCCTAGAATATGAAGGTGGTTCAAAAACATTTACCTCAAAGAAAACTAAACAAATGTTCATATGTCTTATTAGACGTTGAAGGCATTCGTCAAAAAAGGGCAAAATAATTGGAAGTTCATCCAAGACTACTTCAAAGAATTCATTTGTAGGAGAGCCTAGTTCAAGAAAGAAGAAACCTTTGAAAAATTTTAAAGACTAAAAAGGAAAGCCTAAGTCTGTACAAATTCTAAGAAAGTTTAGAAGAAGAAATTAAAAGGGTAAAAAATTGTGATTGAAAAATACATCGACTCCATTAATGAATATAAACAACCTCCTAGGCGACCTGTCATGCTGGAGGAATATATAACTGATTTATATATTGACTCAGAATCAGAAAAGGAAGATAATATTCCAATCGAGACTTGAAGAGTTTTAAATAAATGAGGTGGAAGGGCTGCAAGAGGAAGCAATACATCTCTTGAAATTTGTAAAGCTAATTTGAAAATGTCTTCTAACAAAATACATCATACACCCGCTCCTTTCACTAATTTGGATAAAAATTTAAATTTCCCTGACAAAGAATGTGATCACAAGGGTAAGAAGATTTTTAAAGAAAAATGTCAAAAACTCAGAAGTAGCTCAGATTCTAAGGAAGTTGAAGATATGAAAATTTTAAAGAATTCTCAAACTAAAGCCAGTTCATCTTCAAAGGTGGCACAAATCTAGCTAAAAAGTGGAAAGCAAGTTCCTCTACCTCAAAAGAAAACAAAGGATAAAGAAAAGAACATTCATCTCAATGTAGATTTTATTCAATAATATTCCCTTAAACCTAAGGTTTCCAGTGCAAATATGGATTGCAATATATTATCCCATCTCTAAAAATTATTTGCATTGCTAAGTATCTATGATGACCTTCTAATTTTTAATAATCTTTGGGAAACATTCATTAAAAGTTTGCAAAATCTTGATTAGTATGAGGCATTCTTAGGTAGTTTCTAGCTTTTCATACACAAAATACTGCCAAAATAACTTTCTACGATAGTGATCTACTCTTAGGGACTACAGATCATAATCGGCCATTACATGTTACTGCGAAGAGTAACAACATTGACATAAATAGAATTCTTATCGATCCAAGTTCCTCTATTAATCTAATGAGCCTCAAAAAGATCAAAGGGTTGGCCCTCGATGTTCAATATCTAAACAGAGCATTGTGTTTCTACAAGAATTTTACAAACAAGGGAAATGAACTTTAGGATCCTTAGTCTTACCTTTGAACTTTGGGAAACTTAATAGATAGGCAACATTTCACATTATTGATTCCAAAATATCATATACGAAACTGCTTAGAAGACCATGGCTTCATGAGTATGGAATAGTGCCTTTAACGCATTATCCATGTATGAAATATATTCGAGATAATAAAGAATATCATAGTGATGGTGATGAACGACTATTCTTAGTGCATTATGTAAAAATATATGATGA